GAAATGTCGAAATGCAAAACAAGGGCATCTCGCCCAGAGCAAAAATCCTATACACAAGGACTGAGAAAAGAGAAAGAAGATTGCAATCCCACATCTGCCCGTTTCCTCTCTCTCTCTCCCTGATGCGGACAATCTGTCGTCTCGCACCTATCAACGAAGTTATCACACCACTTAGCCCGCATGCGGCCGTCAGGTTCGCCCGTGCGCCACAGTTTGTCGTGGCCGACACGTCAACTCCGCGCACTTGGCACCAGCTCGTCGGGTCGCCCAACTCCCTCATCAACTCACCTCTTACTTTGCTCATTAGCCGACCCTCACTGATCGCGCTAACCTTGAGCTTCCAAAATTTTTAAGAGAGGCATTTAACCACGCCGACGAAATTTATAGCATGCAGGCGTGCGCGAGGATACGAGATTGCAGGGATTGGAAAGAGGAGCAGAGAGAGGAAGTGCCTACGCTTGGCATGGCCAGATCGCGGCGTGGGGGACGTAGCCACTCTCCACGCATCGATCCAGGCATGCAACGCTCAGGCCAATCAGATGTAGTAACAAGAAGGGACGAAGGGCAGGAAGAAAACGAGGGAACAAGAAAGAAGATACAGTTACAATGGCGCCCGCCCAACGATTACAGTTGTATGCAAGATTAAGGGCGTCTCTTAGTCAGAACTTTGTTCCCGCCGCACAAGAACGCGCGCAAGAAGGGAGCGCCGCCCGACAAGAATTTCAAAAAGTCCTAAATTCCTATCTGAACTAAAAACTGCAACAGAAAAATTCCGACGAAACAGAAGAAAAAATAAATAAATAAAAAAAATCAAAATTCTGAGAGCCCTCGGGGGCTCTTTTAGGAAAATTTAAAAAGAACACGGAAAAACTCTTGTGCGATCATCGCGCCAAAAAAATCTTCGTTCCCTCCAGCAGAGCAAGAACGAACCATCGCCAACAGTTATTGATCGCGCCCAACCGGGCGCACACACTCAACCGTCTGTCCCGGGCCTGTCCCACCACGCCCGAAGGGGAAGGAGCAAAGCGAAGAAAAAGAAAGAAGTGAGGACACCGTCACAATTTATCCCTCGATCCCACCTCCCGTAATTTGCCCAGCCTTCCCATCTCAGGACCCCTCATCGTCATCGCGCAGAAAGTCGCGCGGTGCGAAAAATTGTTCGTCACATATGTGACGCCCAGGGGGTTCCAATCTTTGAGCAAGCTCCTGCTTGCTTGATGTTACGACACGTGTCGATCTCTCTAATCGATCGACGACGTGGAGCTCTCTACGTGCAACTTACCTTGCGATAAGAGTTTGGAAGTCATCCAACGTGGCCAAAGCCGGCTCTATCCTACAAATTCCCCAGGAAGGGCGATCTAACCTCAGACAGAGGAGGTGGTGAGCGATCCTGCCAATTTACACGTGTCGCTGCCGCAGGATATGAATCATCATGTTGACACGTCATCAGATCCGATGGTGCGTTATTGACCCGCAGGGAGAGGATAAAGGAGTCGGTACATGGGGGGATGGCGAGGGGGAGGGTCACTTGGGAGTGGGGGTAAGAACGTCTCCATCCTCGCTACCGTTCCCGGCAGCTCCTGATATCTAACAATGCGATGTACGCGGGGGAACCGGCTGCCGCTATGGGAGAGAAAAGCAAGATAGTCGGGATTGAGGGTTGGGAAGGTGTGGAGCAGGGTCGTGCGGAGCTGATCATAGTCCGCGCATGTGGGGACTGTCCCCGTGATCATGCAGTAGACTTCGACCATGTTATGTCCCCGCCATGCAACACTGAAGAAAAGAATGTGGAGGGAGAAATAGGAGATGACGCATCTCGTGGTGGAATGCGGATACACCGTGACATCGAGGCGAGTGGCGTAGAAGTGACGGAAGGTGGAAGGCAGGAAGGGGTTGCGAGGGAAGGGGAGACGGGTATCGATCTGCCGGAGGGTCAGAAAATCAAGGGGACGACGGGATAATAACCGGGGACGTAGCCCGATGCCCCGCATCGCCACGTATTCGAACTGAGGGACGGGGGGAAGGGGAGGGGGATCGGCTCCGTCGCCTCCACGCCGGCGCGCTCGAGGTCTCCGCAGGAGGGAGCTCATCCTCAATTGAGGGTGGCTCGGGATCTCTGGTCGGGTCGTATGGGATTGGCAAATTAGTGCCGCTGGAATGCTCCAACGACCGCTTCCCTGCCGCTATCTCTTCCCTCCTTCGCGCGGCTGCTGCAGGATCCCTCGCTGTATTCGCTATAGCTTCTCTCTTCCTCAGAGGTCCCTTCCTCGCTTTCGTCCTCCACCTCCGCTTCCTCTGCCACCGCTTCCTCCTCCAACGTCGTTCGAAGCTGAAAGAAAAGGACGTCGATTATCCCTCGGGGGTTCAGATACTCCACGCGTGATGGGTAGCTACCACCTCCCTCGCGCTCCTCCAGACAAGCCGACCATTGTAAATATGGTGTTAAACTCCGTGAAAGTACGTGCGGTGCCGGATTCTCGTCACAATGCGAGATGATGTCGATCAGAAGATCGTCAAGCAGCTGCACGAAGGGGACCAAGAGCTCCCGCGCGATCGTTTGCCAATGTCCTGGGTCCACCGTTCCGAAGATGAATCCGAGAAGGTCTCCCTCCACCTCTGATCTCCAGGCTTGGATAACAAGCAGCTCCACACTTTCGCTCTCAGCACGGTGCTCACTGTCCTGAGTCCATATCAGCTCGATCTCGACTAGGCACAAGGAAAGGGTGGAGTAATTCTCACACCATATCTCCCACTGCGATGGCTTGATGAGCGAAACTGTAAGCGGCCGCACGCAGAAGGAGAGGCGGGGATGGTGGGCTGACTGCCAGAAAGTGGGGAAAAAGGAGGCGAGGGTGAAGGTAGAGAATTGGGAACGGTTCATTGAGGGCGCAAGAAAGGCATAAGCGCAAGGAGAGCGACCGCCGGCTCGTGTCGGAGAGTGCGGATGCTGCCAGTGTCAACATTGTTGGTATTGACAACGTTCTCCCCTCGCCGCACAAGTAACTGGGTCCACACCTGCGCTAATTCCCCACCCCACTCCCTCAACGACGTACGGATGGTCGTATGAGCTCTGGGATCAACCGTACTTAGATCCCCGCTGAAGAAGACGACTGTCGATATGTGACTAATACCCGGCGCCGAGAGTCGTCGATAAGTTGATGCTTCGGCCAGCACCTGCGCCCTGCTGTTGGGGACTACGAAACGGAACTCCGCCGCCGCATGTACGCCGGCCGTGCTGAAGAACTGCGCGAATTGGAGAACGTCGGGGCTGATGCGCGGATGATGGACTTGTCGGATCGTCGAAACGTTCCCTCGTGGCGCCAGCATACGTTCACTGATAACCTACTCCGTGGAAAAACTCATGGCGACGGGGAGGGAGGGGGCGAGTGGGAAGAAGAAAGAGAATGGGGATTGTCACTCTCCCACTCGGACCCCGAGATCGACCCAGCTGGGAAGGGGGAGAAAAAGTTGAGAGATGGCGGAGGTAGGACACGTGGCGGACGATCCGACGAGCCGATCGGTTGCCTGAGATTTCAGGCGCCAGTCGCACCGTGTTCAACCCGTTCGGGCCGAGCTCGATCACTCGAAATCGCCCGAAGAATCGTGGCGCTAACTTACCTTGGCGAACACATTTCCTCACTTGCACCATGTCCCCTAATTTATACTAGGGCCGTGGTCCTGCGTTCCCATTCCGGGCCTCGTAGCTACGGACTTGCCGTCCGTGGGCCAATTCGGTCATCCGCTGTCGTTTTCGGGTCAGCCTAGGGAGGGACCGCTCCATCAATTTCAAGTGTCGCTTGGCCTTTTCCCGGGCCGTGGCCCTCGTGGGTCATCAACCCAAGGCAGATTCATCGTTAAGGCTCGGTATTGAGACACATGCCAAGCTATTGGTACGTAGTTGAAAGGGGCTCAGGCCTGTGGACTCGTGGGGCGTTCCACGATGGACCGCCAGGATGTGATCCACAATATCGGGCCAAGGCCTCGTGTCCCTAGCCGTGATATTGCACCGAAGGGCGGTCTTAATCACTCGGTTTGCGTTTTTTACCAGTCCGTTCGATTGGGATATGTGGGGTGCGGTGTTATGGATGGCGACCCCATGTATGACGAGGTTCCTCAAAACTTTCCCCCTAAATTCTGCCCCGTTATCTATCAGAAGTTCCTTGGTGTCTTGATGCATCCCGAGGAAACGGTTGACGTATCGCGCGATTTCAGACGCCTGTCGTGTTCGGCATGGATACGCCTCGATCCATTTCGAAAAATGATCCACAAAAACCAATAAAATTGAACACTCGCAGCTATTCGGTCCAGGGGGCACCATTATATCGGTCGTATCCATACTAACTCTCTGAAAAGGTCGTCCGACTACTGTGGGCACTATCGACCTAGGCGGCTAGATCAGCGCCTTGTCGGTGGCACAAACCTGACAGTTCCGGACGATGAATTTGGCATCGTCGCGAATATTGGACCAGTACCATTCGTTTTTGTCGATCACCGTTTTTGTGATCCAAACGGCGAAGTGGGCTGCGGTATCCTTGTGGGCTGACTTAACCCAGTCATACCTCATGAACGGGTGCGGTACAATCATCCAAATCCCACTACCGTCCGTCTTTCGTTTTTCCAATCGTCCCTCGTTCCATCGATAATCCCGAGCCTTTTCATTGCCCTCCTCTGGTCTTCCCTAGTAAAGTCTCGGAGGGGGTTCCCCACTACGGTCGCTATCAGAGCGACGTCGGTCCAAACCTCAATCCTTCTAAACCTTTGAGTCTTTTCTAACCCTTCTGATGTAATGTCAAGAAATCGAGCCTCGGTCGGGATTTTATCGGTCCGATACAGGGGGCACAGCCAAGGCTTATTGCCGCTTCGGTATTGGATACAAGAGTCATGGGCTTTGGACACACACCGTCGACAGTCTACCCATTCGACATACCCATCCCCACTAGGGTGCATAGGGACCGAGTAGACCCGCGAGATCGTTTCACAAAAATAACAAAATTTGTCAGGGTAAAAAAAAAAAAAAAAATAATTAAATAATTAAAACAAAATGTCGGGGTAGGGAGTAGCAGCCCCGTGCACAAACTGGAGAGTGGATAAACTACGACCCCGTGCACAGACTCCAAAGTGGACCACGTGTACAAAGTGGATAAAAAAAATTTTAAGAGGAAAAAAAAAAAAAAAAAAAAAAAAAAAAAAAAAAAAGATGAAGACGAGGGGGGAGATAGAGGAGCATTGGGGTTAACTCCGCCACCCATCGCCACGTGCCTATCCCACGGTGCGTGGGACAACTGCCACCTTTCCATACCGGGGTCCGCTGGTTGGCTCCGGCTCTTTCCACGGGATAATCTTTTCACCCTTGGCGACCTTCGTTAGACGATGCAGTCGCGTCAACCCGTCCGCGCTCCCGTGCCTCTCTGTCTTTCGATGGATGATGTCGAAATCGTACTCCTGTAGCCGCACCGCCCACCATCCAATCATGCCCGTGTAATTTGTGAGCCTCTTAAGGGCGAATACCGGCTCGTGATCCGTAATAAGGAGAAACCTATGTCCATAGAGATACGGATGGAAGTGCTGGATCCCCCAAACCACCGCGTAGCATTCTCCTTGCGAGGCCGAATCATTCCTTCGTTCGTCGGGTATGGTACGGGAGGCGTACTCGATGACGTGTTCCCGCCCCTCGTTCCCTTTCTGTGCCAAAATAACGGAGATGGCCTCGGGCTGCCAGTCCGTGATGAGGATGAATGGCTTCATTGGGTCCGACATGATCAAAATAGGTGTCGTGGCCAGGGTCTCCTTGAGAGTGACAAAGGCCCGTTCGCACTCCACGTCCCAACTGAGGGGCTGGTCTTTCCGTAGCAGGTTCGTTAAGGGCTGAGCGATCGCGGTGAATCCCTTCATAAACCTCCGATAATACGAGGCCATCCCGACGAAGGCTCGAACCTGCGTCAGCGATGTGGGGGTCAAAGCGTCTCGGACGGTCTCGACCTTTCTTGAATCGGGTCGCAACCCAACCCGAGTTACCACGTAGCTAGAAAGGAAATCTTCGGGAAAAAGAACTCGCTTTTCTCCAGCGCGATCTTAAATCCGACGTCCCTCAAGGCTCCCAGTGTCCAGTCGATGTGCTGCTCATGCCTGTGGTAGGATTCCGAATACACCAGGATATCGTCCATGTACACAATGACGCAAAAATTAATCATCCCCTGCGTCAGCCGAGTCTTGTTAACAAAATTCTGAAACGTCACATTCATTGCTCGCTGGAAGGTGGCCGGCGCGTTGCAAATCCCCATCGGACATCGAACCCACTGCCACGTGCCTTCAAACAGAACAAAGGCCGTCTTAGGCCGATCCTCTTCCTTGACCAAGTTATGATGAAACTCGCGGCGAATATCGAACTTACTGAAGTAGTTAGCACACCCAATCGCATCCAACAAATCATCAATCCGGGGAAGGGGGTATACATCTTTAATCGTGATATCATTCAGCTTGCGATAATCGATGCAGATGCGGACCGGTCCATTATTCTTTCGTACCAGGGCTACTGGAAACGACCAAGGTCCCGTAGCCAGCTCAATCCATCCGTTAGCCTCGAACTCTCTAATCCTCTGTAGGGCCGTTTTCCGTTCAGCGAGGGAATATCGATACGATTTGCAGTGGATAGGGGGGTGATTTCCAGTGCGAATCTTGTGCTGGATTATTATTGACTGCCCGCTGTCCGTGTCCGTTACGCTAACCGCTCCCCGATACCCCTCTAGGATTTTCGCAATCAGGCGGTGTGTGTCGTCGGGTACGTATTGGGGCACGTGTAATTCGTAAGGTTGCCCATGGATAACGACCGTCACGTGTTTCGTGCGTATCATCTTTGCGTCCCGTGAAGGCGGGGAGGAGATAAACGAGTTGTCGGACCGCCACGAGAACATAGTGGCGACCATCTGAGCTTCCTCCTCTCGGATGGCCACGTGTTCTTCGGGGGTTATCCTGTCCTCGACATCTCGGGAATCTATTTGTCTTTTGGTGATTAAGATTCCCAGCTCGAACGGCGAGGCTTCGGGGTACCCACTGCCCAGGGGGTTCCGAAGCCCGTGTCTCCGCTCCTAAGCGTAATAATCTTACTTCTTTTTCCGTGGTGAGAAGCGATCGAGGAGGTATGTCCGTAACATCGCAAAACGATCGTTTGTCTAAGTATCGTGGTAACAGTTGGACAACTTCCTCGTATAGGGTCCGAGGGGGTTCCAAAGAATCGACGGCTCTCCTAGGATAAGGGCTCGAGTTCGTAGAATTGCTTCATCGCTAAATACGAATGCCTTCGTCCTTTTCTCTCAAACCGGGTAACGGATTATCCGTCGTGTTAGCTCGAGAATTTGCGGGTCGTTCTCCGCCTCACTTTCGGAGGTGATCGATGGCACGTAAGCCTCGTTTTCTTCACTGTCGGAGTCATCCGTGGATTCTTACCATCGTATCATTCTTAGAACCGTGCAAGGTTCCTGTCGTTGTCGCTCGGCCATCGAGGTTGTTCTAAGAGTGAGGCGCATTGGGATGGTGTACGGTTTTCCTCCTGTGTTGTTGAGGATAACGGCTCGTCATTTGAAATCCAACGTGGCTCGCAACGCGGTGAGGGCCGGTAATCCGACAAGAACGTCGTACGTGTTCACGTTTAGGACCACTACATCCCCTAAGGCATTGACCTTGCCGATGCGGAAGGCTACGTTCACCATTCTCCCTATGACTCGGATTTTGCCTTCGTCGGCGGAGACGAAATGATCGCCCTCCGCCAGTGGGATCACGTCCTTCCGCCTGCCGACTCGTTCGACCACTCGCAAGGAGATGGCCAGGACCGCGGCTCCGGAAACAAGGACCACGCTGTAGGGGTTCCCCCAAACTTCCACGTCACATTCTGCGGATCTCCATGGAAGGGTCCCGATTCGTATAAAATTATCGCCTTTCTGGATTAGGCCCATCCGAACAGGCTCTGAAGTGCTCGGCATGTCAGGTCTTGGTTCCGGGGCGGGGGCCTTTCCTTTCATGGTTGCTAGTCTGGCCAGGGTGAACCATTTTCGGTTCGCCTTGCAATGATGTAGCATCAGATCGTTAGCTTGTTCGGAGATGGACAACAGGTGTCCGATTGGTAGGGGAATACGATGATCTAATGCTCGGACGATGTCCAGAATGTTCATTTCTCCCGTAACAAACACGGTTCCTCATGTTTCCATCTCGTTCGGGGAGGGTCTCCATTCCGATACTTCGCTATGGTCAGAGGCGGGCTGGATGGCCCCGATCATACCGAGGCCCGGATATCCTAGAGACAGGTATTGATCAAGCAGGATAAGTTCGGCTGCTTCCTCCGTAACCCCTGACGGGTTCACACTACCGTCTGTTTCTTCCACCATCGTAGCCACCCGACCAGGTTCGTTAGCGATGGGGGCCGCCACTACTGGCGCGGCTCCGATTTTGGGTTGCGTGGATCGGTGGGGGCAATCCCGGGCTATGTGTCCTGGTTGGTGACACGTATAACAAACGCTTGTGTTGGCTTGTGTTGGCCACTTGTGTTGGTCGCGGCCCCTCCTACTGCTGGGGCAGGGGCCGCTCCTTGCATTCCTAGGGCTGCTCAAACGGCAATGGGACGCATCAACCTCATCATCGATTTGATCCGTGCGTTGTGCTCGCGCTGCTCCTTTTTGCGTTCCTGCATCAAACTGACTAATGTTCGAGTTAATTCCAATATCACGTTAGATTCACTAGGTTGTGCAGGGACATTCGTGGGAGGCAATGGGGTGGTCGCGGTGGGTAGTCATGCGACTGTATCAGGTATCGGCCTTTTGACCGCGACCTGTTCTAGATAGGTGACGGGTCCGGGGACAAAACCCATATTTTCGAACTTGTTATGAAGCGCTGCCAGCTCAGCTTTCGCCCGGGCCAGCTTCGAGGAGTCTCCTTTCTTGGCGTGATCTTCACTTTCCAAGAAGCTGGCGGCGAATTTTCTATCAATTTTCTGGCCCCATCCATAATATGTTGCATGGTATGGTTGATGGGGGAGAACTGCTTTCGCAGTTTTGCCCTCATTGCCCGACTTCGAAGTCCATCGATAAACAAGTCCCTTCCTACCTTTTCGTCTCTCTCGGAATTGACAAACAACTTATAGAACCTACTGCGATATTCTGTAACGGATTCAAGCGGCTTCTACACATGATCTTTGATTATAAAAAACGCCTGTTCAGGATGGATATAATCAAACCGGTTTAAGAAATCTCTCTCGAAGGTCGGGAGATCGATCCAGGCGTAGGTACTAAACCAATGGTGCACATCTCCTCCCAGTATGGCGGGGATGTTGATCCGGGCCTCGTCGTTGTCGTACTGTTGAGCCCGTAAGGTGGCCAGCCATGCCCCGGCCAGGTGATGCGCAGGGTCGAAGAGATACAAATCAGGGGGAGCCGCAGGTGCGCGAACTCGGACGGGTGGGGGGGGGGACAGGTACCCCGCCCAACTCTACATTAACGTTTGGCGCTTGATTGGCGTTCATATTGACGGCCTATCTTCCGGCCGATCGACTCCTAAGTACTATAGGATCGCGTCGAGGCGCGTTCCGCTGTCTAGGCCGTCCTCTATTCGCCAGATCGTCTTAGCGACGGTCTACTTAGTTCCCTATTAGCTCGCCACGTGTCGGTTGTAATACCAACCTAACGCCCAGCGCTACTTCCTGATCGGAGTGGGATGGGGGCCCAGAAGTGCGCAAAAGGGGTGTGCCAAGGATTTTTGGGAATTTGGGGTGGAGTCCCAGCTTGGAACTCAGATCTCCGATGACAAGTTTCAGGGGCAGGGGTGCAAGTGTCTTCTGCTCAGAGTTGAGGCGATGACCGACCGTCCTGCCTAAGCCCGCGTGGGGTGCTACGGGTGTCTCTGTGGGAGTGCCAGTACTCATGCCGACCGTCGCACGTCTCGGGGTCTGAGGGAGACGAGTCGGACTCTGGTTGCTCAATCCTGTGATAGGCTCGTTGCACGACCCTCGCTTGCCGACGCTCGTCGGGCTGTCGACACTCTGAGCACGGCGGACGGGGACAAAACTTAGCTATGGAATCCTAGGGGACCACAAGTAGCTGATGGTAGGGAATCCCAGGGGACCATGAGTAGCTGATGGTAGGGGAGGACCGTTTAGTAGGGAGGGAAGTTAGTGGTAATGGCAACGAAGCTTGGGGTTAGAAGGTATTGCTGGTTCCGGTTGTCGGGATAATCGGGAATCCACGAGTCTCGATTGATTGCCAACTGGAAATCGCCCCTGCACAGTCGCTCGTTTTCAGTCCGGCAGGGGTACTCGAGAGGTCCCGAGTTCCGTAAGTGGTGTTGTTGTCAGATTTGTTGCTGTCGGATCTGTTCCCTTTCCCAATATACTCGGTATTCTGGGTTCCTCAGGCTTTCGCGATCGGTGATCCAGAAAGGAGAGTCTATCGCCATATCTCGTTCAGCCGAATTCTTGCATACACATCTTCCTACGGGGCGGGATCGTGACTAGCTTTTGCGGGCGCACGTGTAGATGGCGCGTCCGCGGACGACCGTTGTCTGACACGTGTGTGCGCGAGGGCTAGCAGACCCGATCCTGATCTGCGCAAGCAGCCAAAGAGCAGTCCGCACCAGCTCAGTTCTTGCAGCTAACTCTACCTAAGCAAACACACTCAGCAATCCCCCTTTGCCCTGACCCGTATAGCACATAGGGATTCCGTCATTCCTGTCGAGATCTGTCGGGCTAAGTCCACCCGGCCTCGTGAGTGCTCGTGTAAGCCGTATTCGTCAGATCGTACTTACACGGGGACTCGCGGGGCTAGTCCGTTGTGGATCGATCCATCAGCCAATCACTTATGCAGAAAGGGTGGGGGGGGGGGTCATGCAACGACCTTTTAGACCACTCTTGTTTGAGCAGAAAGCAGTTGCGTACCCGGACATACATCAAAGCATCATAACAGTACCTATTCCTTGCATC